GCCACCCCACAAGTAGAATTTTTGGGATGCAGAATTGACGCCTCTGGTATTCACCCAATCGAATCCAAAGTAAGGGCTATTCACGAGGCACCCACGCCAACTAACAAAACTGAGCTCCAGGCCTTTTTAGGACTTCTTAACTTTTACCCTTCATTTTTGCCTCATAAAGCTTCTGTTGCAGAGCCTCTGCACAGACTCTTGGACAAGCAATCCCCCTGGCACTGGGGACCTAGGGAAGCCCATGCCTTCCACGCTGTCAAATCATTACTTACATCCAATGCTGTCCTGATACAATTTAATGAACATTTACCTTTAGTTTTAGCAGCAGATGCTTCTCCTTTTGGCATAGGTGCTGTTTTAAGTCATAGACTGCCTAACGGTTCTGAGGCACCCATTGGCTTTTTCTCCAGAACTTTTTCCCCAGCTGAGCGCAACTACAGCCAAATTGACAAGGAGGCTTTGGTTGCAGTTGCTTCTGTCAAAAAATTCCATGAGTTTCTATATGGACACTATTTCGAGTTGATCATGGATCACAAGCCTCTGTTAGGCCTTCTGTCTGGCGAGAGACAAACTCATCAGATTTTGTCCCCAAAAATAACCAGGTGGACCTTATTTCTGGCTGCCTATTCCTATACACTAGTTCATTGACCTGGCAAAAGTCTATGCCACGCTGATGCTCTTAGTCACTGCCCCCTGCCTGTTCCTGTGGAGGATCCTGCACCAACTAATGTTGTTTTACAGATCAACAACCTCAAACTCCCCATCACTGCCCTCGATATCGCTGCCCACTCTTCCAGGGACAAGGTAATCGCCCAAGTTCTTGACTGGGTGGGAAGGGAGTGGCCAGCAATTCCTTATGCCCTCGAATTCGTGCCTTTCAAAATTCGCCAGCAAGAACTATCTTCTTTGCAAGGCTGTTTACTTTGGGGAACAAGGGTAGTTATCCCTTCCAAGTTGCAAGACTCAGTTTTAAAGGTCCTGCATGAGGGCCATCCCGGCATTGTCAGGATGAAGGCCCTGGCTCGCAGTTATGTATGGTGGCCAGGCATGGATGCTCAGATTACAAGTTGGGTGAATGCTTGTCAGCCATGCCAAGCTACCAGACCTGCTTCACCACATCCACTCCAGGCAGGTGGGAAGATTCTGTGGCCCCTTGGTCCTGGTTGCATATTGATCTGGCTGGCCCCGTTCATGGGCATACATTCCTGGTGATGGTTGATTCTTTTTCTAAATGGGTAGAACTGACCTTGATGACCACCACAACTTCAGAAGCTGTCACTAAGGCTCCATCAAGGATATTCGCTACCCATGGCCTCCCTGACACCATCGTGTCTGATAACGGCCCCCAGTTTACTTCCTGTGAGTTTGAGATCTTCCTAGCCAACCTAGGAATAAGGCACGCACTTACAGCTCCTTTTCATCCTGCCAGTAATGGCCTGGCTGAAAGGGCAGTCAGATCAGTTAAGGAGGCCCTGGCAAGGTTTAGGCCTATAGATTGGCACTCTAGGCTCGCTAAGTACCTCCTGACCCAGCACACAACTCCCTGTGCCACCACTAATAGGTCTCCGGCTGAACTTCTCATGGGTAGACGTCTGAGGACCACCCTAGACAGACTCCATCTGCATTATGCCCCAGTCACACCCCTAGGGTCAAAAAGCCAGGCAAGGGAGTTCGCTGAGAATGACCAGGTCTATGCCTGGAACTATGTAGGACACCCTTTGTAGATGCCTGGGCAAACTGTGGCGGTAACTGGTCCTAAGTCTTACAGGGTCCAACTGCAAGACGGGTGCATCTGGCACCGCCATATCGATCAGCTTAGAAGGCGTCGGAGTGTGCCTGCAGATAGCCCTCAAGACGTTCCTGCAACAGAGAAACCGTCGGCGCCCAAAGAAACTTCCCTTGGATCCGACAGGAATGCAAGCCTACCTGAACAGCCACCTGTCCCTTGCCCAGAAACGCCTGAAGTCGAGACGCTAGCTTCGTCGGCACCAGAAGTCGCCCAGCAAGCAGAAAAGTTCCTTCCAGCAGCAGCTTCGTCAGGACTTAGAAGATCTGGCTGCCTGCGCAAGCGCCTGAGTTATCTGAAGGACTACGCATGCTCCGTTCTGGGGGAAAGGAGTGTGGCGTTCGGAAAAGACTGAGCTGAAGTCTTCACTCCGGTCCGTGTTTCCAGCGTGAACACGGACCGTTCCTATTGGCTGATGCCGTTTGACAGCGGGCTATAAAAGGGAGCTGTCAAATGGCATCAGCTGTTGTCCGCCAGCTGGCTGCCTTGTTAGCGCGGCAGCCGCGGCAACCCTTTATTGTTACAATAAAGTAAAAGCTGAAGTTTGCTCCGTGTTTGCCTCAGGTTATTCCGCCGCTCCACAACAGTGGGATGCACAGGTACCCCAATTCCTTGGAACCTGACAATGTAAAGGCAAAGGGAGGGGGAATAAAACAAGTCAAAGTAGCAGCTACACAAAGCAGCGGGGCTGATTGTGTGCTCACATGCTCTATTTTGAACTTTTTCAATAATCATCTTGGGGATGAGCACTTGGGAAGTGCAGGAGCAGAGGAGGGACAATTCTATTTTTAAAGAGCAAGGATATAGTAAGCATGGGTTTTTTAGCCAGCTTTTACAGAGGGTGTGATTAGGGCCAATTTTGGCTTCTGTGTCTTAGGGAGAACTAGAAACCAGGATTTTCTGCTCCTACTACTACGATGGATTGCACTAATGTGTTAGATTAATCTCTGCAATTTCTAGTCCGTACAGCCAGGTGGGAGGTAGTCCAACACACTGGAAAGGACACCAGGTGTACTTAACATGTGGGGAACCCCCTTGGGAGACGGGGGGAGAAGCTGCTTAGAACAGTGGTTGCCAACCAGTGGGCCGGAGACTGCAAAGAAATGTCACCCCCAAAGCAATTAAACCAGGCTGTGCAGGAACAAGGCTGTGCCGCCCACATGGCCCACGGGAACACAAGGCTTGCGTTGCTTGCATTGCAAACATGAGGTAGCGAGGGGACAGGGGAAAGGGTGGAGGGGGGGAACTTGCCCCACTTGCCTTGCCTGGCTTGTTTCCGCTCCTTTCTTCCTCTGCTTTTGGCTACACGCAAGGAAAGCAGCAAAAGTCTTTCTTTTTCTCCCTCAAACTCCTCCAGACATGCGTCTTTGGGACCCCGCAAGGCCTCCTGCTCCAAGAGGCTGCGCTGGCATGACAAGTTTCACAAAGACTCATTTCTGGCAGAATTTGGGGGAGAGAAAGAAAGACTTCTGCTGCTTCTGCTGCTTTCCTTGCATGAAGCCAAAAGTCTCTCTCTCTCTCTCTCTGAGAACGGAGCTGGAAATGGCATCCTGTGATCCCAAATAAAGAATGATTGATCGGTAGGAAAACGGGGTGGGGGATTTTCCTGCAGACTTTTTGGGGGATTTTCCCAGAGTCTGAATACAGAAGCTACAATCCACTACATATGATTTTACACTTTTTATTTTATTTTACACTTTATTGGCTTCTTTTGGTACCTTTGTTCTGTTATATCCAATGTGTTTTGATAGTTCCCCAGCTTGTTTAAATAACCTCTAGAAAATCAATCTGAGGACATAAATTGAGTAATTTCACATTCTATAGGAAACCAAGTCCCTAGTGTACATCATCGACAGGAATAAAGCAAAATTTAAACTGTATATTTTTAAAACATGGAACATACGCAAGACAAACTTGTAAGACGATACAAATACAGAAACCATCACAACTCACCCATATTACCATGTATCTGTGCAACGAGAGGCACACACCCTGGAGGGAAATGTCCATGGAGATTCTTAGTCATCCAGGTCACGGTTGTCCCGGAGGTGACTTTTTTAAAGAGGCAACTGGACTTTCTGGATTTTCTTTGAAGATGTTTCAATTCTCATCCAAGAAGGTTCTTCAGCTCTGCTCCGTTAAGAAGCTTCTTCTTAAGTGAAACGTCTTCAAAGAAAAAGCAGAAAGTCTAGTTGCCTCTTGAAAAAGCACCTTTGGGACATCCTGGAGGGAAGTGGGGCAGTAAACTAAAGAACTGTGGTTCATTGTTGACTCAGTGTTCACAATACAGTCACCACCAGAAAGGGGATCCTTCAAGGGTCCCATTCCCCCCCCCCCCCCCCCCCCCCCCCCCCCGGGTCAGGTCCACAATGCGGACCTTCCCGGAAATCTTCACAGCGTTTCCTTTGCAATGCACAAATGCAGAGTGGAGTTCTATTAACTTTGACCCGACAGGCTGATTTCAGGCTCTTTGCTGAGGCATGCCAGAGGTCCCAGCTCAGCCGCCAATGAAGATGCTGGAGCTCTACTCCCCACCTCTGGCTCCGGAGTACCATCGGCTTCCCTCTCACATCTCTTCCTAGAGGTATGGACTATCCGGAGTCATCAATTCAGCTGGTTGTTTTAAGGGCCCTGGTCAACAAGGGGTACCTCCTCTGTGGCAGCGTGTACTGTGTGCATGGGGCCAGCCACACCACCCATCGGCTTTGGGTCCAATACATGAAGGCAGCTGCTGATACCAAGCCAGCCAGGCAGCAAAATATCTTGGTGTTTCAATTGGAGATGCTGAAAAATGAACGTCAGACTTTCTGCTCCGCCCTCAGCAAGTCCTGCCATGAAGCCGCTGCCATGGACACACCGCTCAAGACAAAAGTGCCCCTTCGGTTTGAGCACGAAGCACAGCCGGGCCCGGTGCACGGCAACCCCCAAGGTTGTTTCTCCAGAGATTTGTAAACTTTTTATCTGCCCCGGCTTAAGGCAGAACAGAAGCGTCCATTTAAGTTGCTGTTAAAAATATCTAAAAATTAGGATTCCATTGTGGCAGTTCTTCTTCAATTCAAACTTCAAACTGGTGATGAAGTTTCCAGTTTGTGCATGGACAGAATCGTGTTCTACATTTCTAAGTTAGAATTAAAGATCAGAACGAGGGAGGGAGGGAGGGAGGGAGGGAGGGAGGGAGGGAGGGAGGGAGGAAGGAAGGAAGGAAGGAAGGAAGGAAAGCTTGTCCCCTCAAATCTTTTCTGGATCCTCAAGGAAAAAGCAGCAGCAGGAGGAAAGGGAGGCCGCACCAAGTAAGCAGAGAAGAAGCCAGCTGCAAAAGGCACCCAACTTCTGGAAAGTGCAGCTGGGAGCCCTGTTATTCCCACTTTTGAACCTGGAATCTTTTCCAAATAAGTTGTGCACAGCACCAGACAGACCATTGAAAAAGACATTTCGGAATGACAAAATCCACCTGTGGTCTCCAAAAGAGAATTACATCCATTTATATCAAAAGAACACAACTTCATGCAGTTCTAGGTAACTGTGTTGGTCGACTCATCCATAATCAGGAAAAGGGATTCCCAACCACGCCCCAGCCCCTCCCTCCCCCCTCCCCCCTCCGCACTGCTACATCAGTGCTTCTTCACGGAGGCTCCGCTTATGGTCGGGGTTGGCCTCATCCTCAGGCGGATCATTTTCATCCCCGGATTCAACGTAGATGGGCCAGTCGTTGTCCGGGTCGTTCCTTTCCGGCCCCTCGGAGGAAGGCTCCATGAGGCTGAGGTTGATGGGCCCTGAATCCTCGTGCGTGGTAGTGACGCACGTGCAGCTGTCACACAGGCCAAAGCGACGCAGGCCCTGGGTCAGGCTGCTGGTGAAGGTTCGCCGGCAGCCTTTGCAGATGATGGGCTTGTTAGACTGATGGACCTGGGGAGCCAAGAAGCAAGAAGGATGGTCAGCCACAGAGGGCAGCTGTGGCCAGGAAGGCCCTTGCACAACTTTGGATTGCACACTGGTTAGGCCCATTTCTGGACCAACATGCCCATCTCAGGTCCCCTCCCGTCTGCACCGGCGTAATGCACCCTACACAGGGATGCCCACAAAGAGCCTCCAGAAGCTTCCATTAGTTCAGAATGCAGCAGCCCAGACCGGCCTGGACTCGTGCATCGGTCACCGTCACCTCCTTTGCAGGAGCCACACTGGCTGCCAACCTGCTCCTGGTCTGATTAAGGTGCTGGTGGTCACTTTTAAAGCCCCACGTGGCCTGGGGCCAGGCTGTTCGAAGGATCCCCTGTAACGTCCCCTCTTCCATCCACCCGGCCCACCCAGACAGGAAGGCAGGGCACGTGACCAGATTGTCAGGCTGAGGCCACCAAAGGCAACCCTCTCGGGGGTGACCCCCTCCTTAAGGACCATCCTTCCCCCAGATTGGCCCCCACCCTTCTGCACGGAGATGGAACGATCAAGGGGTTGGCCTAATTATGCTGCTGCTGCTGCTGCCATGGGAGGCTGAGGGCAGGGGGGAGAATGGGTTGTGTATGTTGATGTTGTGAGCTGCCCAGGGTCACCTGTGTGTCAGTTGGGCGGCCATATAGATTTTACAGTGAACAAACCACACGGCTGATGCCCCAAACTCTGTGTCTCGTCTGCACCAGTCCGAGTCATGCCCAGCCTTTTTCCCCAAAAACCTCCCCAACTCCCACAAGTGGATTGTCAGTTGCAATGGGAACACGGCTTCCCCAGGTGGGTGGGTGCAGCCCAACATGCCACTTACACTCAACGCATGGCTCCGGAGGTGCTCCTGGCGCGTGAAGCGCTTGCCGCAGACTTCGCAGGGGTACGGCCGCTCTCCGGTATGCGAACGGATGTGGCGCTTCAAGATGCCCTTCTGCTTCGCTGTGTAGGGGCAAAAGGGGCACTTGTGCAGCTTGATGGGCACCACCAGGACATCACCTTGGGGGAGGGGAGGACACAGCAGTTGGGACCGTTTCAAAGGGAGGTGTGTGTGTGTGTGTGTGTGTGTTTCCAAAGAGGTGATTTAAAAACAACAGTGCAAATATTGGGGAGAGGGAAGAGAATTCCATTGCTCTCTCTGCTCGCTATTAAGACCATTTTTAAAAAATATATGCGAACATCCCTTGTGGCAGCTGGCACAATGCTGCGACCCAGAAATGAGTGGCAGCAGCCCAGGAAAGCACGGTTCCCTTGGCACAATGTTGTGTTTCAGAAGGAAGGAGATCTGGACCACACACCTTTAAAGAACAGTGATTGGATGGGTGCCTTAAAGGGGGAAACGGGCAGCGAGGCCATTTCCGGAAGCCTTCCTAAACAGGATATGCTTGGCTTGGAGGCTGGGGAGGAGGGCGCTTCTGAACTCTCCCTCACCCCAATGCCAGGGCTTTTCCTCAGGAACCCACGGGGCCTTTTTCTACAGGTAATCCCTGACGTACAACTTTAATGGAGCCCAGAATTTCTGTTGTTAGCCATGACAACCTGATTTTACCACCATTTTTTGTGGCAGCTCTAAAGTGAAGGTGGTGCTTTTGCCAGATACCATTTGTAAAGGCTGGAAAGTGGCATCAAAAATTGTAAATCATGACCACAGATTTGAGCGTAACGTGGCCATGTGCACGCACCACTGTCAGAGCCCCAGAACCAGATCATAAATGTGTTGTATCTTCCCTCTGCCACACGAAGCTCTGAAAACCAATTCAGCTTCTGCTCTCAGGTGAGGCCAAACATGTCACACACCGGGCTGGCATCTGCCTTGGCAGACAGACGCAGGAGAGCACAAGGCCTGGCACGGCCACCAGCGAGCTGAGAGTAACAAAACTGGGGGCAAAATGAACCGGGAGCAAATCTGAATAAGAAACTAAGTTTTCAAAGAGCAGGAAATGACAAGCATGTGTACTCTGCACGGGCCCCTCCTGGCTGCCTGGTTCTGGGCCTCACTAGAAATACCTGTTAAAAAAATACCTCACCTGTTTCAGGCAGGTTTCAAGAAGGGGAGCAGGAAGGGGAGCATAAACAAAAAGCACTGGAGGAAAAGTGCAGGAAGTGGAAAGGTAGAGGGGAGCGATAGGATACCTGAAAAGGAGGAGACAGATTAGCCTTCGGAGGCAGACCGGGCAGAAACTCCACCGGAAGGCCCTTTATTGTAAAGCCATTTTCACAGAACCTGAAAGTACATTTCTCCCCCCCATCCTAACTGTGCCACCTGGGTTCCAGAAACTGGGGAGGGGGTTCTTCTGAGCCTTTTGCCCACTTCCCCCGACACCCCCCCAATCTGGGGGCTCTGGTCTGACCGGTCCTTAGGCTGGGTCCCAAGGCTGAGACTCCCAAGGTCTTCCCTACATAACAAGAAGTTAGAAAGAAATGTCAATTTTTCCTTTTCCCAGCTTTTAGGGCATGGAATGATGGCCTCAGGTTTACAGGGAGATAAATTCTGCTTGAGGATTCAAAACCAAAAACAAAAAAAAACCCAACAACCTCATAGGAAAAAGAGAAGTTTGATGGAGTCATGAGATGTTGTTTAATTTACTAAATAAGTACCGTATTTTTTAGAGTGTAGGATGTACTTTTTCCACCTCCAAAAGAAAGGTCTGTTGTTGAAGCCCCGCCCACTCTTTGGCCCCACCCTTCAGCCTCTGCCTCCCAGCAATTTGCCTCCTTGCAGCAAACAGCAAACGATCTGTTTCAGATTCAACACAGCCTGATTAGCACAAGCAGCTGATTGTTGGTTAGACCAGCCTCCCAACGATCAGCTGTTCCAGGCTGCAGGGATTGCCATCACCTATTGTCGCCTCTGTGCACCCCATTTTTGACCTCCCCATGCTCAGTTTTGGCCTGCTGCAGGCAGTGGGGATCAGAATGGGCGGAAAATGGGACACGCTGAGGCCAAAAATGGGATGCAGAGGCCAAAAATGGGGCACGTGGAGGGAGCAATAGGCGATGGCAATCCCTGCAGCCTGGAACAGCTGATTGTTGGGAGGCCACTCTGACAATCAGCTACTTGTGCTAATCAGGCTGTGCTGAAGCTGAGCAGGCTGTCTGCTATTTACTGCAAGGAGACAAATGGCTGGGAAGCAGATTTTTTTTTCTAGTTTTCCTCCCCCAAAGCTAGGTGAATCTTACACTAGGAGAGTTTTATACTCCGAAAAATATGATAAGTAAAAAAATTAATGGATGTCCCTCCCCCTCAAGTAGAGGATGGGCAGCCACATGTCACAAATGTTGTCAGGTAGATCCTGCACTGAGCAAGAGGGTGGACTCGCTGACCTCAAAGAGTCTCTTCTAACTCTGGCCCATTCTATTCTGCCTTCCACCTATCCAGGTTTGCATTATTTTGGCCCGGTGCGGCACATGTGGCCCAGGGCTGAGCTCATGTGCACTTCCAGCCTTTTGGAGCCATTCTTCCCCACAGCACCTCACAGAAAGCCATTAATGGCACACGAGTGACCTAAGGTAGCCGCAGTACAAAGACATGCCCCCAAATTACCTGATTTTAGCTCCAGGGAAAACGCTCGGAAGGCTGCTGGGAAGGCTGCTTCCCTTTACAAATTGGCCAGATTCACGCTCTGTGATGATGATGTACAGCCAGGGGAGGAGGGGGACGGGGAGGGGACACCTGGGCTGCTACAGGGCTGCAGCCTGTTGAGAACTGGGCCGCGGAAGGGACGGGCAGGCCTGCAGAACTTCACCTGAGCACCTGCAGGATTTAGGTTGCAGGTGTGTGAAAGCACTTCCACCTGCCAATGAACACACTGAAGCCACGGCCACCGCCACGGATCCGTGGAACCAAACAGGTTGGGGACCACGTACAGTGTGCATTATTTTTAGATATGCCATAACTATAACTTACAACCGTTTGTTTAGTGACCGTTCGAGGGACAATGGCACTGAAAAAAGTGACTTATGATCGTTTTTCACACTCAAATTTCGGATGCTTGGCCACTGGCATGTATTCATGAAGGCTGCAGTATCCCATAAAATCCCTTTTATGACCTTCTGACGAGCAACTTCCATGGACAAATCAGATTCACTCAACCATCATGTTACTAACTTAACTGCAACAACACACTTAGCAACCGGGGCAAGGAAAGTCGTAAAATAAGGCGAACTCCCTTAACAAGTGTCTTGCTTAGCAAAAGAAATTTTGGGCTCGATTGTGCTCGTAAGTCGAGGACTACCTGCAACTTTAAGTTATCCTATATTTTCAATGCTACTTTTTAATGCTACTTTTCACCCTAATATTAGGGTCCCAGCTCTTCTCCTGAGCACCCCAACCTTGGCCACTTCAAGCTGTGTGGGGGATTCTGGGAGCTGAAGCCCAACTGGCTTAAAATGGATTGGGGGGGGCTACCAAAGCAGGCCGGAGTGGGGGACCACCCCCCCAAGAACAGGGGAGAGGAAACTGACCACCTCGGGGCAAAGGAAAGGCCAAGAGAAGCTCCTTCCCCAGCAGAGGCAAGCGGGGGCCTTTTTCTGGGGAGGAAACGTGAGCGAAGCCCCAGCAAGCCAGCAGAAAGAGAGAAAGCCCATGCAGCCGGCCCCTTGGCCCCCAAAGGCCCCCGGCCTCCTAAAAAAAGGACCAGCAGTAGAGTTGGCAATCGCTCATCTACTTCAGGGCTGTCCAACTCGCGGCCGGTAGGGCAGCTGTGTCACATGCTGGCCCCACCCAGGGCCAGTTTAGTGAAGGGAAAAAAGTCCTGATTAGTGGTGGGATTCAAACATTTTCTACTACTGGTTTTGTGGGCGTGGCAGGGGAAGGATATATTGTAAAATCCCCCTTCCCTCCCCACCCCACTAGCCTGCTTTCCAGCTCCGTTCTCCTGTGCAGGGCAACAAAAGAAGACCCAGCCGATCAGCTGGGACTCGATGGGAGGCAGAGAATAGATTGGGTTGGAGGGGCCAGTCAGAGGTGGGATTGGCCGGTTCTCCAAACTACTCAAAATGTCCTCCACCAGTTCTCCAGAACTGGTCAGAAGCGGCTGAATCCCACCTCTGGTCCCGATACGTCATGTGACACCGCTGTGACGGTGTGAGTATGACATCCCTGGTCTATTTGGTTTCTTTACAGTCCATCTCTCCTCAAGTCAACTCTGGACAGCTTTACAAGACTAACAATAAAACCATGAAAAATAAATATTTCTATTAACAGTAAAAATGACAATTAAAAAGACGGGGAAGAAGGGAGCAGGATGCACAGTGGCGGGAGCCGGCATCTTCTCTTAATCCTTCCACCTTCCTTGTGATGCACCTGGGATGGGGGGGGGCTTCAGGCCAGTGGCGGGAGTCCAATTTTTTTACTACCGGTTCTGTGGGTGTGGCTTGGTGGGCGTGGCAGGGGAAATCTCCAGTCGGAGGTGGGATTGGCCGGTTCTCCAAACTACACAAAATTTCCACTACCGGTCAGAACCTGCTGAAGACCACCTCTGCCCCAGGCCCTCACAGAAGGACAGGAGGGTAGAAGCAGCAACAATTCTTTGGAGCAGATAAAGGACAGAGACTGAGAGACCAAGTTGTGAATCAAACAGAGTTTCTTTATCTTGGGCATTTTAAGATGCGTGGACTTCAACTCCCCAAATTCCCCAGCCAGCAGGTCCACATATCTTAAAGTTCCATAAACATTGGCCTTGAGTTGAGGACTACTTTATATACGTATGTTCACGGTCCTAAAGGCACTGAACAAGTGGGAATCTCAAAATATCTAAAGATCCCCTGATACAGAATAGCAGAATTGGAAGGGACTTTGGAGCTTGTTCTGACCAAGGCTTCCCGAGACCGCAATTAAGAACATGCTTAGTTAAAAGGACTTTTGTTTTATTTCAAAGCTGGGAATTATGTTCATTCCCAGCCTGTAATGAGTCCTAAACAGTCCCTGTTAAGTACAGATAAGCATCCACCTTTCTCTCCTTTGAATTGCTACCAACAACTAAAGTGCCCCATGAACTGTAAAAAACCAACCAAAGTACAAAGTCGACGCAGAGCTTCAAGGATTAATCCGAACAGAACGAACGTCTTTGCTTCCTGCAAAGGTTCCTGTCCCTTTGCTCCTCCTTTATGTGTTATGGGAGGGTCCATCGCCTCCAAGCCTTACTCCTGAGTTGCCCCTTTTGTCTCAGCTACTCTAGCTTCTGGCAACTCTGCGCACACGTGCACTGGGAACAGGCTCCCCTGGTTCCTCTGCCTCGCTGCTGCCCACTCCCAGGTGGTCCTGGCCCCATCCCTGCATCGGATGCAGCACCCTAGTCTGAGTCCTCTGCAGACTCCCGGACTGGTCCCCGTTCTTCTCCACTGTCCGATTCTGCTGCCGTCTGCACCGGTGCTGGCGAATCACAACAGAGGTCCATTTCAATCCCCTGCCCATGGCAGGAGACCCTGAAACCATTTTGTCAAATGGCTGTCCAGTCTCTTCTTGAAAACCTTCAGTGAAGGAGCACTCACAACTTCTGGAGACAGAAGACAGTCTACTGATTGAGCGTTCTCACCGTCAGGAAATTTCTCCTTAGTTCTAGGTTGACTCACTCTTTTGTAAGTTTCCATCCGTTGCTTTTTGTCCTGCCCTCAGGTCTTTGGAGTACAGGCTAACGCCGCCCCCCGCCCCCTTCTCTGTGACAGCCCCTCAGATATTGGAAGACTGCTATCATGTCACCCCCAATCCATATTAATGTGCACACCATTTCTTCTTCTCTAACACTTAGCTATCTTTGGATTTGTTCAAATGGAGGGCAGTTTCCATTAGGCCAAAACCAGCAAAGCCACAGAAGATAAATACAGTACAAGGATCAGGACTAATCTGATCAACATGATCAACACAGTTAAAGCTCACCGGTCTAATCTGATCAACATGATCAGATTAGACCGGTGAGCTTTAACTGTGTTAAAGTCCCTTATAACAGGTATATTTAATCTTTCTTGGATTATTCTTCTTTGGTGTCATTCATGTTTCATACACAGTTTTACAGAACAAACTTTTAAAAGGTACTATGATAACAGATTAACGGATTTGGAAGGGATCTTGTAGGTCATCTAGTCCAACCCCTCGCCCAAGCAGGAAACCCTACACCATTTCGGACAGATGGCAGTCCGGTCTCTTCTTTAATGCCTCCAATGATGGTGCACCCATAACTTCTGAAGGCCAGCTGTTCCATTGGTTGATTGCTTTCACTGTCAAAAAATGTCTCATTTCCAGATTGAATCTCTCCTTGATCAGCTTCCATCCATTTCTCCTTGTCTGGCCTTCAGGTGCCTTGGAAAAAGCTTGACCCCCTCCTCCTCTCTGGGGCAGCCCCTCGGATATTGGAACACTGCTCTTATTTCTTCCCAGGTCCTTCTCTTCACTAGACTAGCCAGGCCCAGTTCCTGTAACCCAGGGGTCTTCAAACTTGACAGCTTTAAGACTTGTGGACTTCAACTCCCAGAATTCCTCCTCCAGTCATGTTAGCTCAGGAATTCTGGGAGTTGAAGTCCACAAGTCTTACACTTGCCAAGTTGGAAGACCCTGGCTATAACCGTTCTTCATGTTTTAGCCCCCAGCCCTTCATCATCCTGGTTGCTCTTTGCACTTTTTCTAGAGTCTCAACATCTTTTTTATAGTGTGGTGACCAAAACTGATAAGTCAGTTTCAGCCTTGAAATGAAGGAATTAAACCAATGGAGATTCTCTGTAATCCAGGCCATGGTTGTCTCAGAGGTAGTTTTCCAAGGTGAAGAAGCTTCTTGGACGAGAAGCTAAATGTCTCCGAAGAAAAACCAGAAAGGCCAGTTGCCTCTTAGAAAAGTATCTTTGGGAGAATGAAGCCAAGTTTTATTGCTAGTAGATGGCAACTGAAGCTCAGATGCAAGCATTTCATGGACCAAAGATACAATTTCTGAAATGTGTGGTTTTTTAAAAAATCTTTATAGTTTTAAAAATGGCTGCTTGGCGACTTTTCTGCCTATGCTCAAAAGTCCCTTATTCTTCGGCTGAAGAAAATGTTCCCTCGGAGGCGTGAAAGGAGATTTTGTTAGAAAGAACTATCAACCCCAATTAGTCCATGCTGCCTGGACTAATGCAAAATATGCACGCCCACAGAGTCCTTTCTAGACTAGGTAGATTAGATTTCCTCTGAAGTCATCCACTGGATCTGCATTAAAGGACTGCATTGTCCGCCACCCATAGTCACTTTGGACAATAAGATGGGTGACATACAAATTTAATCAATCACTCAATCAAACATCTTTCAAAGTCAGTATCAAAAAGCACACAACTCCAACGTCCAATTTCAATTTCTGTAAGTTGCAGAATTCCAGAAGATGGACATCCCTTCCTCAAAAGGGAATATTTACCGGTAGCTTCATCAACAGCTCAACTAGACCTTGTCCCTAGGTGGTTTATGGCTGCATCCCACAGACAGGCAGGGCTCCTCTCAGAATGCCGGAGTCTGCTCTTCCACGCAAGAGCCTTTGCGTCCAGTAGAACCATTTCAAGGTATCCTCAACTGTTTGTGCCTTCTGCATGATCTCTGAACAACTGGAAAGCACTTTTAAACCCAAGACTTATCATAACTGGAGACAGTGGGTTTAGGGCAGTTACAAAAGCAGCAGAATGAATTAATGAATGTTTTCATTTTATGACATGTAATTCTCCCTTCGTCATAACCTGCCCATCGTCTTTGGGAAGGGGCACAAGGAAAATGATGCAGAAGGAAGAATCCCAACACAAATACAGGGATTCCCCAACTTACATCCACAACTGGGGCCAGAATTTCCATTGCTAAGCAAAACACTGCAGCTGTTAAGTGAATCATACAAATATTAAGCCAACCTAGCTTTACTGGAAGCCAGCTGGGAAGCTCACCAAGAACCGTCCCACGAGACCAGGACATGGCAAGTGCCATAAACACAGGCCTGTTGCCCAGCACCCGAATACTGATCAGATCACGGTGGGACTGCTGTGATAGTCGGAAGTGTGAGGATCGGTAGCAAGTCACCTTTTTCAGTGCAGTTGTAACATCAATCATTAAACAAATGGTCATATGTCAAGGACTACCTTATTAAATACTTGTTGAAGTCTATACCTTTCCAGAAGCTTTAGATTGTGGAATTAAGATTCATTCTTCCTTTCAAAAGCCAGCCGTTTTGATGCACTTTATTACCTCAATTCCACGCAGGAAAGAAAAACACTGAATTGGAAAACAAGCCCCTTGGAGGGAGGGAGGGGGAGGGAGGGGGAGAGGGAGGGAGGGAGGGAGGGAGGAGCTGCGTCATACTCCTCTTACCTGTGTCCTCTCCATACCAGTCGTTGTGAAGGTCCATCATGGAGCTCATGGGCAAGCCGGCATCTTCTGGCCGGCCCTCAAAGCCACGCCCAAAAGGGTGGACCATCTCGTCTTTCCTTTGGGAGGCGCTATTGCGCAGCAAGGCTTCGAGAACCTGCTTCATGTGGTAGCTGCTGCAGGCCAGGTCCATGGCCTGCCCCCCGTGAAGCCCCTCTTCGATCTGCTCGATGGTCAAGGAAGTGGGGTACTGCTGCAGCCGTTCCCCAACTTCCACCTCGTCCACGTCAAACTCAACCTTTGGCTCTATTGCCTTGGGTGCCGAGGAGCTGGTGTCATCTGGAGACTGGCGGCCAGCGGGGTCCCTGGCCAGGAGGTCCAGGTGATGGTGGCAGCTGCTGCCATCCCCGCAGGGGGGAGGCCCTTGTGGGCAGTCCGGGACGCCATCCTTGTCCTGCAGAGAGGAAGCGGAGGCTGAGCACCGGGCCTTGGCACCGCAGGATGGGCCCTGGCAGGCAGAGCTGGCGGAGCTCCTGCTGTCTGCCTGGTAGAAGGCAGCTTCTCGCTCGATCTTCCTGCAGATGTCCAACGATGACCGGATGTACGTCTTGCAGAAGTTGACCACGTCAGTCATCTGCAAGTAGCTGGCGGCGGACATGACCTCAATCACATTTTCCCCACAAAGATCCAGCTTACCTGAATAAAGGAAGTCCAGGATAACGGAGAAGGCCTCCGAGGTCACAATGTCCAGGGAAGCTGTGCTGTGCCGGCCACTGTCCTGAATGTAGTGGATCAACAGAGCTCGGAAGTAGCCGCTGTTGGCAAAGAGAATGTTCTTGTGGGCCTTGAAAATCCTCCCTTCCACTATGATGCTGCAGTCGCAAAAGAAGTCCCTCTTCCGCTGCTCGTTCAGCTCGCTCAGGAGTTTGGCATAGTACGACTGCATCTCCATGGCTCTGCAGCTTGGAGCGGTCAGGGAGCCCTGCAAGGAAAAGGAGGACCAACCGAGGTCAGGCCGCTCCAGGGCCAAGCCAAGGCCACCTCCTTCTTGGAGGGCTTCGAAGGGCTGTGGATGGAGAAGCCGCAGTGGGAATCCTACGTCACCAGGAGCCTCTTTCCTCTCTCAGTTCCGTACTCTGTCTAGTCCAGGTTTTCTCAGCTTCGGCCATTTTAAGATGCGTGAACTTCAATTCCCAGAATACCCAAGCACCGACTGCTGGCCGTGGAATTCTGGGAGTTGAAGTTTATACATCTCAAAATGGCCCAGGCTGAGAAACACTCACCGGGATTATCACACCTGGATGGCTGTGGCTGCAAGGCAGGCATCGAGTTGACTTAGGAGTTCCCACCCAAACTTTGGCTTATTCCTGGGCAACCCAATAACTGGATGCAGAAACTCCTTGAGCTCCTGGGGGGAGCCAAGAAGAAACGAGAATCCTCTCCCCTCCCTCCTTCTGCTTCCACCTTCTTGCCTTCTCCTTCTGCTCCTAGGGGTCGCCTGCAACATGGTTCTTTCCTAAACCAAGTGGGAGACTTCCCAGGATTGTCCCTTTCACACACACACACACACACACACACACACACACACACACACACACACCCAAAACCTCCATGGGTGACCAGCCCGTCCTAGGAACAAAAACCTCCGACACTGCCAGAAAGAAAAAGACACACATCCCAACACCTGGAGCCTGGCAATCCCCCCCTTCTTCTGTTATCCTTGTAAGATTTTCCCTTCCCATTTTCCCTTCCAGAACCTCCATCCCTCCCTCCCTCCAAGCAGCTGCAGGCTGGCTATTTCTCCTCCAAGGGGATTTCTTTTCCTGACTAAGGCAACCTCCAGGGTTTTCCACTTCTGTCTCTGCAACAACAAGAACGGTGCCAGATGAAAGGGGTCCGAGCCCCAACATCTCACGGGGCCGGTTTTGCAGGCAAAGAAGATAGGGCAATTCAGCCCCACTTCTGGGCCTTGGCTGACCTTTGTAAGGGACCCCCCTTGCTGTAATATTATAGACACAGAGATGATGGTTTCCTCCTCCAGGTTAGGAGTCCTTGGATTCCTTCTGCCTGGACTTGGAAGCAAAAGCTGCCATGGGACCTGGAAGCCCCACGGAGCCCACGCCTCTCAAAAGGCAGAATTGGGGAGTCTTTCACAAACACCCCAAACAGCAGGGCAGATGCTTAGCCCTTTGTCTAAAGGAGCCATGCAGCACTGAGTCCTTCCCATTCATTTGGGTTAGGGGCACAACAGGGGTTAGACTTTCAGCACTGGACATTTACAGTCAAGGCTACACCACAAGTTCAGAGGAATGAACGGCCTGTGGAGACACAGCAGCTCTTCCTAGGTGCAGAACTGCTGGGGAGACAGCTTTTGGCGCCCCTGCTTCAAACCATGGTCTAACGAACCATGGTTTCTTCAATAAACCTGCATTCGTCCCACCAACCCCAGCCAGGAGGGCTCCCTGGCGCTCTCGGAGCTTTACTGAACACCATCAGTCCGGGGGCTCCGCAGTGGCATCGCAGCCTCTGCCCTGCCCGGGGCTCGTCATCCGCGGACCTTGCAAGCCACGAGGGGCCGGGAGGGGGAGGTTCGGCCCCGCCCGGTGGCTGGAAGGCAGTGGAGTGGCCAGGAGCGCGGCGGGGCCGAAGCCAAAGAGGCGCTTCCCTCCCGACGCGCCCCTCGCGGACCTGCCGGGAGACGGACGCCCAGCCGCGCCGCCCGCTGCCTTCCTTCGGCGCTGCCCCGCCTCCCCGCCAGGCGCAGCGCGGGGTCCCGGAAGGTCCTCTAGCCCGACCCCGCACGAGGAGAATACTTACCGCCGTCCCAGCGATGCTGCGCCCGCAAGTGAGGGGGGCAGGCCGGCTTGCAGGAGGAGGTCACCCGGCCCGGCAGCCTCCGGAGGGAGGGCGGGAGCCGCCCTCCTGGCCGGCCGAGCAGCGCGGCCTCACCTGCCTCGCCCCGCCGCGGCTGTTGCTGCTGCTGCTGCTGCTTGCCTGCCGCCCCCCCGCAGGCGCTCCCAGGCGGGCACGCGCGCGCAGAGGCGCAAGGCAGGGGCGCCGGCAGCCAGCCCGGGGGAAGGGGCCGCCGCCGCCCACCCTACTCGGCGCCAATCGCCCGCGGAGCCCCCGGGACTCGCCGTCTCCTCGGCCGGGGCTGGAGTGGCGGAGAAAGGCCGGCCTTTGAGGAGGCGGCGGCGAGGAGGGGAGTCCGGTGGGGCGGGGCTCCTCCGAGCGACACTCCGCCTTCATCGCAGCGGCTCAGCAAATTGAAGAAGGTGGACCTCCAAGGCGTCAGGCTGGCTCGGGGACTCTGGGAGTTGAAGTCCAGGTGTCTTAAAAGTCGCTGGAGTCTCAGGACCTCCGGCTTCAAGGGGGACGCTTCTTGCCTCAGAGGCCTTTGGCACGCCAGTCTGTAGGAAATGCTCGTTAACCCGCTCTGGGATTAAACAAAGGGTCCCCAAACTTGGCCCCTTTAAGATTCGTGGACTTCAACTCCCAGAATTCTCCAGCCAGCATAGATGGGAGTTGAAGTCCACAAGTCTTAAAGGGGCCAAGTTTGAGGACCCCTGGGTCAAGCCAAAGGCAGTGGGGCAGCTCTTCAAGGACCCCCCTGGTCTTGGCTTCCAGGTGCAATTCAAGGTGCTGGTTGTTACCTTGAAGGCCCTTCAGGGCTCAGGATGGACTTACTTACAGCACCATCTCCCCCACGGGGGCCTACCTGTAGAGGCAGGTCTGTCAGGAGAGGCACATGGTAGGTGCCACCTGTAAGAGAGGCTCCCTGGCCCAACCCTGGAGGGCCTTTTCAGCTGTGGCGCTCACCTATTGGAACATGCCCCCCCAACCCGCTGGCCTTGGCAAGGCATAAGCCAGGGGTCCCCAAACTTGGCCACTTTCAAGACTTGTGGACTTCAACTCCCAGAATAGGGCCTCTGGCTTGAACAGGGGTTGGACTAGAGGACCTCCAAGGTCCCTTCCAACCCTATGATCATATACTCTTTATCAACTATGCTGGCTGGAGAATTCTGGGGGGTGAAGTCCACAAGCCTTAAAGTGGCCAAGTTTGGAGACCGCTGGATTAAAGCTTATAATGCTGGCTGGGGAATTCTGGGAATTGAAGCAGTGGTGGATTCAATTTTTTTTACTACCGGTTCTGTGGGCATGGCTTGGTGGACGTAGCAGGGGAAGGAGACTGTAAAATCTCCAGTCAGAGGTGATATTTGCCGGTTCTCCGAACTACTCAAAATTCCACTACCGGTTCTCCAGAACTGTCAGAACCAGCCGATTCATCACCTTTACCAATTTGATCTTCAACAACCCCATCTATCGTGTGGTGGGCTGCAGATTTTTTAACAACCTATTCTCTGGCTGGGTAGGCATGGCCAGTTGGTCATGTGACTGGGTGGGTGATGTCACTCATCACACCCAGCCCAGTAGTGGGATTCAATTTTTTAAACTACCGGTTCTGTGGGCGTGGCTTGGGGGGCGTGGCAGGGGAAGGAGACTGTAAAATCTCCAGTCAGAGGTGGTATTGGCCGGTTCTCTGAACTACTTAAAATTTCCGCTACCAGTTTTCCAGAACTGGTCAGAACCTGCTGAATACCACCTCTGACCCAGCCCCACCTCCCGGCCACTCACCTCAAAGGAACAGGCAGGAGTCAGCCAGTTGGAGCTAATCCCATCCCTGGCTGGCCCCGCCCACACCCATTTTTTGGCCATTTTCGGGTCATTTTCAGGCCGATTTTGGCTGGAAAACAGCCCAGAAAAAAGGCCATTTTTCAGGCTGTTCTCAGGCCATCTTTTGGGCAGTTTTCAGGCCGTTTTTTGCCCCCAAAACAGCTGAAAATGGCCCGAAAAATAGGCGGAGTCTTTGGGTCCAGACAGTGGTCCGATTTCTGGTTCTCCGAACCGTGTAGAATCGGAACAAGGGGTTCAGGCGACCCTGTCCGAACCCGCAGCAGCCCAGCTCTGGAATTGGGCATGTCTAGTCTAATGAAAAGAAGGACGACAGGAAGGACTATAGCAGTACTCCAGTGTTTGGGAGGCTGCCCCAAAGAAGCGTGTGTGTGTGTCTGTGTCTGTGTCTGTGTGTGTGTGTGTGTGTGTGTGTGTGTGTGTGTCAGACTATTTCCCAAAAGACCAGAAGGCAAGGCAAGAACAAGCTTGTGTTCTGGTTGTCAAACTCCCATGGGGCCATGCAGGGGCAACTTTGTAGGTTGTCTTTTGAGTCCCAGGCTTGGTTGACTCTTGCTGGGTGATGATGTAATGAAAGGGCTTTGGGCAATTCCTATTATGGGTCTGCCTGAAGGAGGTAGATCTTTGTTATGTAGAATAGACTGGCCCAGGCCTTAGTGGCCCATTGACAAAGGTGTGGGGGCTGAGTTTCTGCCTCTTTGAGTTTCTACTTCTCTTTTAGGGGAAATATTCTGCCCTTTTAGTATATCCTAAAATATTTCATTTTCCTAGGAGGGCGTGGGTGCTAACTTCCAACAAAGGTAAGAAGCATTTTTGTCTCACCCTTCATTTAGTTTACTTTACTTTATTGTCATTGCACCTTGTAGAATGAAATCAAACACAATCTTCAGTGCACATCATGACCATGAAAATAAACACAAGCACACATCCTTCACACTCCACACATTGAACTGAAACCCCCCGACACCACACCAGCACTGCACTATACAGTAGAATTCAAGAGAGCTCCTGCCCTGGGACAGAAGTTGCTTCAGATCGATGCCTGATCTTTCTATCTTCGTGTCCCTGACTTCAACACATCTTCAAACCCCAAAGCGCAGAACCGTCTGCTGCAGGAAGTCTATTCGGCTGGTGATCCGGTAATGCCTTTGACTTGTTCTTTTCGACGGGAGCTTCTTGCTGGAAATGCTCTTGGCGGCTTTGGCTTGATCTCCCACATCCAACTCTGCTCAACAGGAGACCCCAGGGGAATCCTCTGGAAGAGTCCAGCCCTCGTTTCCTGCCGGAGCATCAGGCTCTTGGTCTGGGGGGTGTTTACTATATGCCTGATGCCTTGGGCCCAGCCAAGGAAGACCGCTTCCCTTCCTGTTTTGGGTGGTTTTCCATTGTGGCACCAATACTCTTGAGGCTCTGGACCCTCCGGAAACACAAGAGAGCTGTGCTTTTAAGCAGACCCTGCAAAATGAGTTTATTTTACTCATATTTTATTTCATTTCTGTAATTTTTTTGGTGTTTCTTGATGTAATGCATAGCAGTAGACCTTACTGGACTATCTTTTTTTAAAAAAAATGAATATGTAAAGAATTGTGTCTTTTTGGTTGGGGAGGCATTGACACCCTAGCAAGAGTTGAATTTGGCATTTTCTGAATTTTTGACCTGCCAAGCCCAAAGGATTTGCCATCAGTGGAAAATATCTGGTATTTTGTCAGAGGAAAGAGGTGGGTTGGATGCAGGAAAGACCCTAAAATGCAATGGAAAAAGTAAAAAGATCCAGAATGGGGACAATTAAAGCTCCCATCTGCAAAACACCAGAGCTTTAATTGCACCACCACAGCACCATCTGGGCTTTTTGTGACCACACCTGCAGGCGTCCCTGGGTAGGTAATGCAATACATAGACACATCTTTAATCCCTCTTCCACCTAGCCAGCCGCTGATCACACGAGACATTCTCCTAACTCAGCTCTTCCTGAAATGACTCTAAATCAAGGGGTGTCAAACTCAAGGCCCTCGGGCTGGATCCAGCCTGCAGGCTGCTCAAGGGACCATCCGGTGGTGCCTCTGGCAGCTGAAACGGGCTGGGTATGCCCCCACCCGCCTTGTTTTCACCCTCCATGGCCTCCTGCAGCATTCTGCCGGCCAAAACTGGGCTGAAAAAGAGTCTGAAACCGGGCTGAAAACTGGGCCAGAAAACAAGCCCAAAATGGACTGAAAAACAGGCCCCAAATGGCTGAAAAACAGGCCCAAAACAGAGATGAAAACAGCCCGAAAATGGCCCATGCAGCCCATTTTCGGCTGGCACAATGCTGCAGGAGGCCATGGAGGGCAAAAATGAGGTGCGGGGGGGGGCACGCATGTACCCTGTGCACCATTTTGGCCGGCAGAGTGCTGCAGGAGGTATCCATCCCACCCCCCCCACCCCCGTCAGCCGGTCTGCAGAGGAGAGCTACAATGCTGATCCAGCTCTCGAAGAAGTCCAGTTTGATCCCCCTGCTATAAATGAATGTGAATTGGGCATTTGTGAACCCATAGATGGCAGAGAAGCCCCACAAAGCCTTGGGGACTGGAATTATACTCCAACAGGGTCCCCCAAGGCAGATCACTCTTCTCTTTCATGCTGTGCCTTTCCTTCAAGCCTTCAACCAACCAATCAACCAATCAGAATAGAGCTGGAAGAGACCTTGGAGATCTCCTAGTCCAGCCCCCTGCTGAAGCAGGAGACCCCACACCATTCCAGACAAGTAGCTGTCCAGTCTCTTCTTAAAAGCCTCCTATGATGAAGCACCCACAACTTCTGGAGGGAAGCTGTTCTCACTGTTGAGTTTCTCCATACGTTGCCTCTTGAATTGTCACTTGTGTCAAAACCCGAACTGTACTTTTGTTTTCAATTGGCTGCTTCTGCTGGTCATGGATAGGGAAGCCTCCTGTTAATTATTGCTTGTGGATCTCAGTTTGTAAGATAAAGGAGGCACACCATACTTAAAAAAGTTATCCATTGCCATAGCCAAACCTCTAAGCGTGATCTGTGGAAAATCTTTCAGGACCAGCTCCTTGCCAAAACTATGGTTACAAGCCATGGTCATCCCCATCTTCAAAAAGGGAGACCCCAGCCTAGTTGAAAATTACAGACCAATCTCCTTATGCTGCATCACCTGCAAAGTCATGGAATCAATTATTAACCAATCCATTATCCTCCACTTAGAGACAAACAACC